GTATAGTAGTTTATAGAAGGTTGTATTATAGATTTGTATCATGGCTTTTAACTTAGAAATTAACATACAGGAAATTATTAACCTATGAATTTTGCTCTTTATAAAATAGAATTGCTTGGGGTGCTTTTTAACTTTATGTCAACTTAACTTTTAGTCTTCTATTATAATTTCGTTTGTGATGCAGTAGTTATATTTAATTTTTAATTTGTTTGAAAACATGCTTTACTGGACTTCTGAAGTATAATTTTTTACAGAAAAAAATGTTCAGAACTATTCACAAATGTTGTACATGTTTTTCAAAGCTCATATTGTGTTATTTTGTAGCAAGCATAACAAACTGATAGAAGAAGTAGTTACTTGTCACTAACTTGTTATGGTAACTGTGAGGAAATGTCATCGTTATTGATTGGTTACTGTCTTCTTAGGTTCAAAATTGTAGATGTTATAGCTACTGCACAAATTTGTTTCAGAGTTAAATGAGAAAATATATGTGAAAGCACTTTGATAACAAATTATTATAGATTTGGAAAAGAGTTTTGAAATACTTAGTTTTGCTTGCCCCCTGTATACTCAATTATAGTTCTTGTCACAGAGTAGATAATCAATACATCTTTGTTGACTGAATGAACGTATATGTGTATATATATATACATATATATATATATATATATAATGTTGCGCGAATGATATTTTAAACAGATGTTTGAAGAACTTTATTGCTTAAAATTGAATGGTTGGCTGCTGTAAGTAAACAGATATCTTTTAAAAATTCTTAAAAGTATCATGAAGAAAATATCCTATTCTTTCCCTTTTTCCTCCCATAATGGATAATTTTGGGCAGTGTTGATGCCTGATTTGTTTGGGAATTGAAACTTGACCATCTCAACAAAAAGTCGAGAAAAAAGGATAATTTTAATGTGTGTTAGGCATTAAAATTAATAGGAAACATACTTTAATGAATAGGGAAGAATATTTATTTCAACTTTAATTATTTTTTTGTAGGTGCTTCCATAATGTTTAAGTTTAGGTTTGTTTTTACCATGGCTTCATACCATTCTCTGTCGACTTACAGTATTAATTTGCTTCGTCTTTATTAGGTATCTAAAGCTGCATCTTTGTTCTTTCACTCATCCATTCATTCATTTATTCCATATTTGTTGAGCATCTCTTATGTGCCAGGCAGCATTAAATTGCTTTACTAAATAATAATGCTATTGAATAAGGTAAAAGATGTGAAAATGTTTTGTAAATTGTAAAATGACATTCAAATGTAATTATTATCATTATCAAATTCTCAATTTTGTATGAAAATACTTTTAGTGTAACTGCTTTGTGTGAATTATAAATTGAATCTACTAAGAATTTTGTATGAAATTTTTTATAAGAATGGGAAAAATTAGATTACCCAGCAATGAATGTTTAACGCAATAGGTTTAAAAGAAAAATATACCAAATTTTCTTTCTTACAGCTCATTGGATAGAACACATTTCTAAAGAAGTTAGGACTGTAGGACTCTACCTTAGGAAGCAGATTACATGCCTGAAGTACAGCTCATCATTTGGCAGATTAGTGTTTTTAGTAACATGGAAGACTGAGTGGGAGAGTGTATTTGACTTGGTGCAAGAGTGTTGCCACTGTAGGAAAAGTAGATCAAAGAATATAGTTTACTGCTTGAGAGTCGATAGCATTGGTTCTGTACTAAAGACAGCATTTATTTCTAGCTTATTGATCATAATCCTAGAGTAGTATACCTTTGAACGTCTTTTAAATTGTGTTCAAATAATGTATCATTTTAGCCAGAGGTGACCCGAGCAATTTTAAAGCTGAAAATTATGAATATGGGTGGAATTTGGTAACATTTTAAGATGCAAAATGGATAAAGCCATCTCTGTAGTACCTGGTTCACTGGCCCTATTGAAGATGATAAATTTTGTCCTGTTGATTTAATATACATTTAAAAAGTTTAAATGTTTAGGCACTGATAAACATCTTTATCTAAAAAACTAGTTTTTGGAAACTGTTTCTTTATAAAATAGAATTCATTGATTTTGGGTTGATCTGAATATTTCAATATATTGTTTTGTCCTGAAGAGGCAGTGCTAGTGGAAAGTGTGTACCTGTTTTTGTGGTCTTGATTCTCTTATAAAGTAGCTGTATGACATTGGGCAAGTCACTTATCTGTCTTGATTTCTGTTTCCTCAACTGTAAAATGAGGGTCCCTTCTGGCTTTAAGATTCTTTCAGTGAAATGTCCACTTAAAAAAAAAATAGAACCAATTTTGGAAATACTTTTGTTTTTCTAGTGTTTTATATAAGGGTATTATAATACAAATTATTTTAATAGGAAAATATTCTGTATATGTTTATTGGATGTGTATTATTTTTTGTTTATTACTAAGTGTTGGTCGCTGATCTCTTACCTTTCCAATCCCAAGGATATTAAGATACGAATTTTCATTTACCCAGAGTATACAATTTTATAGTCAGAAACCAAGAATGGCTTAATAGATGTGAGGCCTCTTGCTGTAAGTACTACCAAAGAGAAGGTCTAAGTGCAGTTCTTTTAAAGACATCATTTTGCACTAGTGTCCCTAATATTTAACTCCCTTTATACAGTTGACTCTTGACCAGTACTGGGGTGGGTTGCTTCCCTCATCCCAACCCCAGTGTCAGAAATCTGCCTACTGCTATCTCTGTCTCAAAAACAAAGGAATTGGTAAATGACTTATCCAAGGGCAGGAAGCTGAAACAGTGTGGATAAAATAAGGATTCAAACTTTAGTTCTTTTGATTCTACATATTGTGGTCTCTAATTGAACACAAACTTTTCCCCACACTTAGTTTAAAGATCTGTAAAATGAAAATGCAGGTACTGTATTTATTGAAAAAAAATCCATGTATAAATGGACCTGCACAGTTCAAACCCATGTTGTTCAAGGGTTAATTGTAATTATTTATGTTGTTTAAAGAGTTAACCCTTTCAGTTATCTAGCTTCATATTAAGTAGCCAGTTGACCATGTTGAGTTCTTCAGGAAGTTACATAAATCAAATTAAAATGATGTTTTGATTCTTTACTGGAAGCTTTTTTGTTTTTGTTTTTTGCCTGTTTTTAATGGTGAAATGGGTCTTGTCTTGAATTATGTGGCCATTTCCTATGGCTGTTTTTCACAGTGTGTTCCGCTGGATTTCAATACATGTTACTAAAGGAAAAAAAAAAGCCCTGTGTGTTCAAGTAAGTTTAGGATTTGCTGAGATAAATAAGGTTATACATTATATATTTTGTACCTTTAATATGGTAATAGTGTTGTTTCAAGAGAAAGACATGGTTTATAGAATTTCGCAAACTTACTTGACCAAATAATTTTTTTTTCTTTTTTTAACCCTCTTTTTCTTCTTATTTTTCTGGAATTTCTCTTCGTATTCTGTCAAACATATTTTGGGAGAATACACCGAGATTCTAATATTCCTTTTGACTCTGAATGATTTTGAGGACAGTCTTGCTCCAGCCTGTAGTTGCTGCCCTCAGCCCCATGGCACATGAGTGGGCTGGTCTTCTATTCAGCCACATAAACTTTGTCAGTCTTTTCTTAAGAGAATGGTAGTCTTAATTCCTGACTGCTAAATTATTAGGCTCTGTACTTAATTTGCATTGGAAAAAGAACTGTAATTCATTTCAATACTAGCTAGGAAGTCTAACCTTGAACTTATTCCTATGCACTATTTATTAAAACCATATTTGAGAAAATAGTATAGTTATATAGTCCATACATCCATTTTTCTGGTTATCTGAAATTTATGCCTGGGTTCCTGGGTCACGTTTTTTGATTCCTTTCTGTGGAAATGCTTTAATTCAATTTTATCTTGGCACTTTCCTTTTTAGCTTGAGAGGGACAATAAGAAATAGCCAGTAAAGCTCATATGTATTGCTGTATATATGTGAGGATATTTTTGAGGGCTTTTGTTTATTACACTACAAGGTATCTTATGAAGACCTATGGGTTAAATTTCAGATTTTTGTCCTAGAACAATTGTTTCCTTCTGAACAACTTCTTTTTTTCTTTTTTAAAATATTTATGGATACTGTAAATATTGAAACTGATTGTATTTCCTTATTTGTATTGCTTCCTGAAAGCTTCAAGTTAAATTTGTGGTCCACCTTTCACAAATATGTAGATTTTTACTCTGGCTTCTTTTTATCTTAAGTCAATAAGAATGCAGGCTCTGGAATCAGGTAGATTGGGTTCAGATCTTGGTGCCATCATTCATTAGCTGTGTTGAAATCAGGCAAGCCACTTAATCTCTGAGCCTCAGTTTTCCCATCTATGAAATGGAGTTAATTGTATAATAGATGTAAGCACCTGTAATAGTTCTTGACATGTCCTGAATACTCCATACTTTTTCCCACTTTCATATTCCCTTTGTTTCACTCCATCTACTTTAAAAAATAATTGATTTTATATGATTTATAATATTTATTGTAATCTACCTAAAATATTTCTTGGAACAAGGCAGAGTAAGCATAGATAAATGTTGGTTACTTAGCACATTGTTTTTTACATAAAATCCAGCAATTAAAAACATTCACAATTGCTTTGCCATACTATTTCTAAATTTACTGAGATTTTGAAACTAGACATACATGGAGATTTACTTTTAGTCCACCTCACTTTCATTCTCTTCCCTTTTCACCTCAAACACACATTACCAAGGAAATTTTCTGTATTATTTGTGTAGGTGTGACAGTGGTTTTCTTAACACATTTTTTTGTTGCAACCTTGTAGGTTAAAAGTTTCACTGTCCTTTGAAGTTCTGTCACAAGACCAGGGAAGTGCATTCATTATAAAACTACTTAATAAATAAGTTCCCCAGTTTGAAGAGCTAGACTTTTATGTGAGGTCAGGCCAGTTGAAGACATTTACAAAGAATTAGTTGTTTGTTATTGCTGTGTGAGTTGCAAGAATGGAAAAAAAAGAAATTCTTTCTTCAATACTTCCTTCCAGGCTGAGTCATCACTAGAGAGTGGGAAGGGCAGCAGCAGCAGAGAATCCAAACCCCAAAGCTGGTATCACAAAGTACCTTTTCTCCAAGTTGGGGGCTCAGAGGGGCGCCATCATGAGCGATGTTACCATTGTGAAAGAAGGTTGGGTTCAGAAGAGGGGTAAGTGTTCAACAAAACTGAAAATAATATGGTTGGTAAGTGTGCTAACACTAAGTGGTGTCCTGGAAGTTGATATTTTTTTCTGATGCTGTTAACAAAGTAAACTGTGACATACTGTGTCCACTAAGATAGAAATGATATTTAACATATGTGTTAGGAATTCTTTGTAATTCTTGATTTTGATCATTTATAATCAAGAAGGTTTGGCTTTCTGGTATGTTGTGTGCATGGATGTTACAGAAAGTTCATGGTGTATTTTTCTGTATTGTCCACAGATTCTACAATCCAGAGAGGTGTCTTTAGAATGATTTAATATCTAGAAAAGTATCTAACTTGTATGCATTTAAAGACATGTAAATATATAAATAAAAGTATTCAATTATATTGAGCCAGTTTGGGCGGTGGCAGGGAAAGGGCTTAAAGTAGTAAAAAGGAAGGATTCACTCACAAACTCATGGATTCAGTAATCCCATAGTTAGATAAGTAAAGTCCTGAAGTAAAAGACCGTATGAGGAAAGGGATTGTGTGTGTGTGTGTGTGTGTGTGTGTGTGTATGTATGTTTAATTTCATATTTTAATTTTTCATGATCTACTTTTATTATTCCTTGTTAATAAGAAATAATTATTATTTCTTAAAGTTATTTAAATACTTTAGATAAATAATTCAAATGCATTATTATTTTTTAATACTAAAGGAACTCTTCAATGTAAAGCTTAGTTTATGCTCCATGAGATCACCTGCTTATGTAGTCAGTGTGTTTATTAGAAATCTAGACTAGAGTTTAGATTAGTTGCCAGGCAACTACTGTTTATCCACATGGCCAAATTCAGTAGGATGAAGATGGCTACATTCTCAGAGCTTTTAAGTTCTCATATATCTATTTTCTGGTTAAAAGTTACCTCTTAATAATTTAGTGATTTTTAATATTCTTTGAAGTTCCGTAGTTAATACTTAGGCTAAAAAGCTGTTGTCAATAGTTAAATATGATTATGTGTTAATGAGTTTTTAAAAATCGGCCTTATTGGGCTTCCCTGGTGGCGCAGTGGTTGAGAGTCCGCCTGCCGATGCAGGGGACACAGGTTCGTGCCCCGGTCAGGAAAGATCCCACATGCTGCGGAGTGGCTGGGCCTGTGAGCCATGGCCGCTGAGCCTGCGCGTCCGGAGCCTGTGTTCCGCAACGGGAGAGGCCACAGCAGTGAGAGGCCCGTGTACCGCAAAAAAAAAAAAAAAAAATTGGCCTTATTGAGTTGTAATTTACGTACAATAAAATTCACCAATTTTAATCCACCAATTTTTACTTTGATGAATTTTGCTAAATTTATACACTAGTGTAACAAACCCTAAAATCATGATATAGAATATTTCTATCATCCCAGCAAGTTCCCTCATTCCCCTGCACAGTCAGTCCTCTTCCCTGAACTCTGGCAACCACTGATTTGCTGTTACTATAATTCTGCTTTTCTAGAATTTCATATAAGTAGGATCATACAATATGTAGTCCTTTGTGTCTGGTTACTTTCACATGGCATAATACTTTAAAGATCCATCTATGTTGTTGTATATATCATTAGTTTGTTCCTTTTTCTTGTTGAGTGGTATTCCACTATCTGGACATACCACAATTTACCTGTTTACCAGTTGGTGGACACTTGGGTTGTTTCTAGTTTTTGGCTGTTATGAATAAAGCTGCTGTGATCATTTGAGTGCACGTCTTTGTGTGATATGTTTTCATTTTTCTTGGGTATTAACCTAAGAATGAGATTACTGAGTCATATGGTAAGTGTATGTTTAACTCTATAAAAACTGCTAAACTGTTTTCCAAAGTGGCTATTCGTACTGTTGTTTAATTTTTCTCATGTTATTCTCATATTATACATTTGGAAAGCATTTTCACATTTCAGTGCTGTATAGAAGTTATTTAAAAAATTTTTTAACTTGTCCATTACATTTATATTATTTTTCCTATTTTGTTGGGGGGGGGCTGGCAAATAACTTAAACCTTTTGGAGTTTTACTTTATTTATTTATTTATTTTTTTGCGGTACGCGGGCCTCTCATTGTTGTGGCCTCTCCCGTTGCTGAGTACAGGCTCAGGACGCGCAGGCTCAGCAGCCATGGCTCACGGGCCCAGCTGCTCCGCGGCATGTGGGATCTCCCGGACTGGGGCATGAACCCGTGTCCCCTGCATCGGCAGGTGGACTCTTAACCACTGCACCACCAGGGAAGCCCGAGTTTTACTTTATTAATCTCAAAAATTTGCTCTCACAAGACTGTTGTGAGGATTAAATGAGATAGTGGGTGTGGATGTGTTTTGGCAGTTCTAACACAAATGTAAGCTATTACTATCACCACATTTTTTCAAAGGTTTTGGGTGGTTCTTGAGTCTTATTTAATTAATTGTGCCTTGTTTGAAATACCAAAATAGAAGTTTGGTGTATAGTGCATGGAATATAGAAAAATGAAAAAGAATTTCTCAGTGTTTTTCCTGAATTGTTTAGTGAATGGGGATTGTAATGAGTGTGTGTGTGTGTGTGTGTGTGTGTGTGTGTGTGTGTGTGTGTGTGTATTTTGGGATGTAATAGTCATATAAGTATAAGAATTTGAATAGTACACAAGGTATAGAATGAAAAGTAACTCTACCTCTTCTAACTAGTTTCTTTCCTCAGAGAGACCTTTTCTATTTTTAATTCTTCTGCTGATTATTATCCCAGGTTTTTTTTTTTTTTTTTTTTTTTTTTTTTTTTTTTTTGCCGGACGCGGGCCTCTCACTGTTGTGGCCTCTCCCGTTGCGGAGCACAGGCTCCAGACGCGCAGGCTCAGCGGCCATGGCTCACGGGCCCAGCTGCTCCGCAGCATGTAGGATCTTTCCGGACCGGGGCACGAACCCGTGTCCTCTGCATCGGCAGGCGGACTCTCAACTGCTGTGCCACCAGGGAAGCTCTATCCCAGTTTTATATATAATATGCTAAACATTATTTTTGATGAATCTTAAGTAATCTAGTATATCTTCATTGTGAAAAAATGAAGAATTTAAACTTTTAATGCCTATTCTTGCCCTTCTTCCTTTTATTGATATTTGTTTATTTTTTGGTGTTTGTGATTAAACTTCTAGCACTTGCACCGTTAATTCTAGAAAGTAGAATTGCCACTTTATAAGTTGAGGAAAATTAGTACCCCTCACAATCTTTCCCTTGAATTCCACATTCCCTTCCCATTTTATGTCAACTGTAACATTGATTTTATATTTTTAAGGTTTATAATAGTTATATTTGCTGATTCTAAAAAGCATTAATCCATATTATGATTATGTACATAATACTGCTA